CATCAGCCAGTCATCTTAGTCAGTCGACCCGTGGCACTTGGGTCTGCCCCGTGACCTCCTGCCAGCGGGCGTTCGACACTTCACGTGTTCTCAAGGTGCACATGGCCTGGCATAAGCGTCATGGTGACGTCACCGCCACTTAGTGGCGAATGACGGTTGCTGTTGTTTTGAGAGATGTGAGCGTGCGTGTGAGAGAGGGGAGAGAGAGTGTGTGTGTGTGTGTGAGAGAGAGAGAGAGTGTAAGACGAGAGAGTGTGTGTGAGAGAGAGTGTCTGTGAGAGAACGGAATAGTCAGAGAGACTTCGCCTACATCCCCGAGTCAATAATTGCACCCCTGGCTGGCACTTGGCTCCAGCGACGTTCGTAAATAAAATGATGAGCAGGCCAAAAGACGGGCGAGTGAAGAGGAAGGAGCGCAACACACACAGCGACGGGTGGACGCGCCCAGCACATCACAATTCCCTCGCGCTCGCATCGGTATAGCTCTACGCGTAACGCGTCGGTGGAGCTCTGCGTGTAACGGGTCGGTGGAGCTCTGCGTGTAACGGGTCGGTGGAGCTCTACGCGTAACAGGCCGGTGGAGCTCTGCGTGTAACGGGTCGGTGGAGCTCTGCGCGTAAAGGGTCGGTGGAGCTCTGCGTGTAACGGGTCGGTGGAGCTCTGCGTGTAACGGGTCGGTGGAGCTCTGCGTGTAACGGGTCGGTGGAGCTCTACGCGTAACAGGCCGGTGGAGCTCTGCGCGTAACGGGTCGGTGGAGCTCTGCGCGTAACGGGTCGGTGGAGCTCTGCGCGTAACGGGTCGGTGGAGCTCTACGCGTAACGGATCGAATGACCGAACGAACGGATCGCGTGCGCGTGCTCAACTTGACGTCTGCGCCTCGTGGCGCAGACTCTGAGTGGCTGACGTTAATCGCCCGCCGCGTTCCGGAAGGGTGAGAAAGCTGTATGGCATTTTGGGAGAAACAGAGTCGAGTGTATGATTTTCCTTTTTCAATCTAGTGCTGGATGACGGTCTCCTCACGCTGTGTCGGCCATGGGGAGGGGGGGGGTTATTTGACCATACTTCACCATGCTGGTCAGCGCCGGTTGGTGAAGGTGGCGTAGCAGTAGGGCATTTGTGATGGAATTTTCTTCCTACTTTTAGATTTTTTATTTATTTTAGTTCTATGTTTTATATTTTTTAGGTAGGGTTTAATGTCACCTTGGTCTGCACGGTAATTTGGGGCCCCGCAGTGGTGAGATGTTAACTCCCTCGCCTGGTGTGCATGAGGTCATGGGTTTGATCCCGACCCTGACGCCTTTATATTTGGAGTTTGCATGTCTCTCTCCCAGTGGTCGCGTGGATTTTTTTTCTCCAGGTCCTCCGATTTTTTCCCCTCCATATTTAGAATGAACACGCGTTTAGAGTATTTGGCTGCTATACATGTGCACGTGATGATAAGCAACTTCGTTGAGCTATTATTTGTGGACAGGTCGCTTCTGGAAAAAAAAAGCGAAATGGTTCAGTGAGCCTTACCTGGCAAAATAGAACTTATTGAGTGTCAGTTTCGTTCATTTACCCGCCCGTGACACCACATCAGGTACACCTCTCGCGATGGAATGTGGCTAATATAGGCACGTGCCTCTACCAACGCCTCGGAAATTGTTAACATTGCTATGACTAAGACACGTGTTTTGATGTCGCTGCTGGGAAACACAGGAGCAGAAGACACGGCTCATTTTCTGTAGGACCAAAAGATAATTTAATTTGTAATCAATAATGCATTCCTTCGCATTGCTCACAATCCGCCACGCATTCTGTTCCGTGCTGCCGTACTGCTCGGTACGGAGCTCCTTTCTAGTCGTGGAATACTCGAGCCGACAACGTCGGACAATAGGCAACGCTCTGCCGATGACACGATACACATCGAACCCGATCTAGAGGGTTGGGTGTCTTGTAAGCTCAACAAGCGCTGCTGGAAATGCTACTCCAGAAGATCCATAGGCTGATGCACTAAGCCGTTCATTTATTGTCCATGCGGTGACACAGACGATTATTTATGATGTTGCCGACAATAACGCCGGAGGAGCGCATGCAAAATTAAATTGCAGAACAACACACTGAGATCATTTTATCGAATGAGGATGATGATGATGTGGACGACCATGATGACGGCGGCGGTGATGGTGGTGGTGATTTTCACGATGATGATGATAAGAATGTTGAGAATGATCGTAATGAAAACGATGATGGAATTGGTGATATGGACGATGACGACAACGACGACGACGATGATTGTGACGACGTCCACCCCTCGCGCACAGCGGCGATGCCGTGAGCAGAGTCGAGCGTGTCAGGAGTGGATGGTGACAATGTTGTCTGTTGGATGCCTTGATACATCAGCTACGTCCGCGATTATTAATAAACCACGACGAGTAACTACCCGCGCTAAGTGAGCGTCGTATATAAGACGGTAAACAGACAGCGCTGTCTCCCGTCTGCCTACATGCCTCCGCATCCGATCCCGTGCCTGCGCGCTCGCATGCTAAGAGGCCTCGCATGACAAACGAGCGCCTCTTTTTTGCTGGAGATATAATACATATCCAATGCAAAAATTTGGACAAAAACCGCAGCTTGATGCATTCGTGGTTCGCAAGGGCCCGGCGTGGGACGGCAGAGTCGAGTAATGCGAGGAGACAGACAGAGCTGCAGAGAGTGGGGTCAGGGGGGGTGGCCGGGGAGAGGGGCTGGAATGCGGGGGAGGGGGTGGGGCTTGTATGGGATGGATGAGGGTGCTTGGGGATATGGTTGGGGTAGAGATGTGGGGATGCGAAGTGGGTGGCTGAGCGGGTGGCATAGGGGGAATAGTGGATTCAGTTTGGGTGACTGTGTGTGTTTGGGTGGATGTGTGAGTATGTGTCACTGTGTGTGTTTGGGTGGCTGTGTGAGTATGTGTCCCTGTGTGTGTTTGGGTGGATGTGTGAGTATTTGTGATTGTGTGTTGTGATGAATGTGGGGAACGACAATGTAGCAGTTAGCGCGTGGCACTTTGAACCCGGGCGACTCGAGTTCGATGCCATGCTTACGGCCAACACTGCTAACGAATATTTGAACGGGACCTGGGCTTCTCCTCGGGTGACTCAGTCTCAAATGAGTACCTAATGCGGTGTGTAAGCGTCAGTACTTGGGAGACAAAGGCTGCCCGGCGTGGTGCTGGCCACCCACGTCCTCGTGGGCCGTGTCGGCTTCATAGGTGCTCGCCAACAGCACTTGCCGCAACAGGCAGTTAAGGCTAGACGGGGGGGGGGGGGGTATTTATCTTTGTCTAGCTTCGTTCGAGTCGATTCAAAGGGCGAGTTTAGTCTGCGGATAAGTTTGTTTGTTTTGTCATTCGCGGTGTAGATGTTGAGATGATCTCGGACGTGAGTTACGCGAGCTGCGTGTGTGATGGAGGAGGGTTTGGTGGAGCAGCACCGCGCCACCGCCAGGAAGCCCACGCGTCTGCGTTCGACTCCCGGTCACGAAAAGCGACTCGACATATTCGTAAATAATAACACGCCTGCGATCTCGAAATAATTAAATACATGCGGGCCTATCTATTGCGGATGACGTTATGGGCAATGGTCCTTGTGCCATGACACAAGAGGCATTGCTCCGAAACGTCGCCCGCTATGTTTTGTTTTCATTTTTAAAATGCCACGTGGTGTTATTGTCGAACGTGTTGAGTGGCATTGTTGGCTGTGTTGTGCACTTCTGCCAACGCAGCAGCAGCATTTGACGGAAGACAAACTATTCTCGTGCGATGTGTTAACGTTAGCACACGGAGAGACAAAGGCGTCCGTGTGTGAGTGATTTCACCACACCCTTCTGTAGTGTGCCATGCTGACTGAATTTTTTGTTACATAATGTTGGCCTTCAAAATCATAATCTTTCTTTATATTGGAGGAATGCCATGAGCTATGAAGCTCTTTTTCATAGATGTCCAGTAGTGTTCATAGAAGTCCAATAGCCTTACAATAGGTGCTCGCTAACACCGATTGACACGGTTATCGGTGCAATCTCCGGTGCGCGTTCAGTGTCGACCACACACACAGACAGAACATTGCTCGTATGACTCGCTAGATCGATTTACAAGTTCATGGCTACGAGCAATGAAACACGCACGAGTTCAAGCACAGTGCAAGGTCAATTGCCGCTCAGATGAGCTCATCATCCCTCCGGGGTCGGTAAAATAGGCACCGCTTCTTGGCAAGTCACAGCGTGGTTGTGTCGCTTCGGGAGGAAACTGCCTCCACCGCCCCCGTTCCCCGCCCCTCTACCCCGAGTGCCCGATCTCTAGCACACCCCTACCCCCACCAATGTAAACGTGGCATTTCCAGCATCGGCTCAGGAACGCCCACCGCTCGTTCACGGATCATGGGGACAATTTAACGTGACATTTGTATCTAATACATATAGACGATCGTTACTGGCTGGCGTGATGTGAAATCCAATGATGTTCTAAAAGGGCTAGAGATCCGCAATCTTTGCACGGACGTAGCCCGAGCCCAGACTCACAGCTCGACAAAAACAAAATACCGAAACAAACGTGGGAATGTGGGAACCCACGGATGTTCTTCTGTTGGGAAAATGGTTGGCTTCACTCTACCACGATGGCGAGATGTTAAATATTTAGCCTGGTATACTGGAGGTCGTGGGTTCGACCCCAACCATGACGCCTGCTGCTGTATATTTAGAGTTTGCATGTCTCTCTCTCTCTTCCCGTGGTCGCGTGGAATTTTCTCCAGGTCCTCCGGTTTTTTCCCCCCTCCACATTTAGAATGAACATCGCGCTTTGAGAGCATTTGGCTCCTCTACATTTCCACGTGATGATAAGCAACTTCGTTATGCTATCTTTTGTGGCCAGGTCGTTTCTGGAATAGAGCTACAGAACTTAGTGGGCCTTACCTGGTAAAAAAAAAAAATAGTCACCAGTTGCAGTTTCGAGGGCCGAATCTCTGCTGCGTCGATTTGAGATTTGTGTTCATCGCAAAAAAATTGACGATCCCTATCTCTGGTGAACCAAGTAACTTGCCTCATGTTGCTTTGCCCAAGCTGCTAAAACATCGGCAGGAATTTGTGTAATAATGCAATGTTTACATCTATAGCTCATTTGTATGTTTATTGACTTGCTTGCTCCTTCTACTTTTCACTGCTATCGTTTTTTATTGTTTGCTGGAAGAGCCTGAAAAATATCTTCATAGCTGATCAGATTCCTCCAGGATGAGTCAAGATTTTGATGTAGGGCCTGACGCTCGAGTCGGTAGAAAGCGGGAAAAATTAAAACTATGACCGGAACCTAGTTTGCATGAATATTAATGTATGTGCATTTTTGTTTCTGATTATGCAGGCCTAGTCGAGGACTATCACGTGGCCACTTAGAGGGGCAAAATTAATTAACTGCGCGGATGGGGTTTATTGTCAAATAAGCTGTAAAGTGCCCATTGGGATATATGGATGAAATGCGACTTACAAATGTAAATTATGAGCGTGGAGATGTGAGCCTGCTTGTAACCACCCGGGAGAGGGAGCAGGTGGAGCAGAGTGGTTATAGAACACACGTCGGCATCAGAAAAAAATCTTTATTTAGACCAGAGGAATCCCAAGAGCTGTGAAGCTATTTTTCACAGACATCCAGTAGAGGTGGCGCTATTGGCTGTTGCTTCACAAAGTGGACTCGCGCATGCAGGATGAGGGTCGGTGGTCGAGACTAACGATGGAGTAGCAGCCAAGCGAGGGAACGCGCCCGAGAGGACATTCATCCAGGAGATGGAGCAAAGAGATCAGCTCGTGGGCAGCACCGAGATGGATTGTTGATTCTCGTAGGTGCTGGGGTATTGCAGACAGTCCTCGACTTACGAACGCCCGACTTACGAACGTCCGTATTTACGAACCAGCTGCCATGAAATATAAACAAAATAGCATTGACAAAATGCGAACTCAGAATTGCAAACTGAACTGCGGAACTATTTTGTTCAGAGGAGAGATTATCCGCGAGGTGAGGGGGCCTCGCGCTGGGAGTGAGTGCGTGCATTTGGGCACGCGGACGTGTGTGTGTGTGAAAGGGAGTTAGTGGGGAGCGGTAGTGTACCGTTTAGAGCGCTGGGCTATGAAAGCGGCAACCGGAGTTCTATTCTTGCTCAGGGCCAATACCAGTACCTGGTGTGGTGTGTAAACATAACCACTGGGGAGACAAAGGCGGCCGGGCGTGGTGTTGGCCACCCACGCTCTTCTGCGCCGTACCGGCCTTCTTCCTAAGTGTGGCTCGCGAACGCCACTTGCTTCTGCAGTCTGTTAAAGCTATACGGGAGATCTTTGTCTTTGCAATCTGAGTGTCATCAGGGGTCAAGGTAAGTGAAAATAAAACCCTTTTTTTATCTATGTTTCTTTATTTTACGTTGTATTTTCTATACAGAATTTTTCTTACAGTGTTACATGCAAAAGTACAATATTTATTCTTATTTCATGAGCTTATCAATGCTTCCATATTTGTTGAACTGTGACACATTTCATAACACTGACCGAATAAGGCATGTAAATACAGTGCATTGTGTTCCGACTTACGAACCGGTCCACTTACGAACGGGTCTCAGGGACGAATTAGGTCCGTAACCCGAGAACTGCGCGTAAAACAAAGTAAGCTGACACCTGGATTCGAACCCATGTCGCAGTGTTGCCAGTTCAAAGTTTCTGAGACGCCTTAAAATTAAATCAATGTATCGATTAATTGAAACTCCCCCCCCCTCCCCCAGGGTGTGCCTGATACTCGCTGTCTACTGATGTCTATTCTCGTCATTTCAATTGTCAACGTCACTGGCGCAGCAGAGGAGAATGAGCGACCTCCGAGGGCTTTGATAGAAAGCCTTGGTGAGTAGAGTAGAGAGTGCGTGGAGGGGAGTAGAGTGAGGTGAGTGGAGTAGAGTGAGATGAGTGAGATGAGAGGGGAGTAGAGTGAGGTGAGTGGAGTAGAGAGTGGATGGAGGGGAGTAGAGTGAGATGGGAGGGTAGAGGTAGGAGAGTGTGTGGAGGGGAATAGAGGGAAATGAGAGGGAGAGGTAGGAGAGTGCTTGGAGGGGAGTAGAGTGAGATGAGAGGGGACAGGCAGGAGAGTGCGTTGAGGGGAGTAGAGTGAGATGAGAGGGGAGAGGTAGGAGAGTGCGAGCAGGGGAGTAGACTGAGATGAGAGGGCAGAGGTAGGAGAGTGTGTGGAGGGGAGTAGAGTGAGATGAGAGGGTAGAGGTAGGAGAGTGCGTGGAGGGGAGTAGAGTGAGATGAGAGGGTAGAGGTAGGAGAGTGCGTGGAGGGGAATATAATGAGATGACGTAGGAGAGTGCGTGGAGGGGAGTAGAGTGAGATGAGAGGTAGGCGAGTGCAGAGAGGGGAGTAGAACGAGATGAGGAGGTTGGAGAGTATACTCTTTGGTTCTATTCGGTAAAGTCACGTAAAAGTATAAAACAACAAAAATAAAAAAATAAAAATACGACGTTTCGGCCACAACACAAATGGCCTTCACCAGGTGAAGGGACCAGACTGTCTCGAGGACAGCGCTGGAGTGAACACATCCAAGCTCAGACCACGACCTTTAAGCTGTGTGAGAGGAAGCAGAGCTCCTTGGCAAAGGAATTGGCATAAAAATAGCATTTAATTGGCGGACTTAGCATGATGAACGGTGTAGAGAGGGGGAACATGTGCAGACAGGCGAGGAGGGGGAGTTTACATATTGATGGTGTGAAAAGGGAATTTAAGCAGCTGCGAACGTTTGGGATACCACTACTTGAAAAAAGTATACTGTTCCATTGAAAATTAGTTTAATGTTTGGTTCGATTTAGAACATCTTTCCAATGGTTGCTTAATTTGAAACCATCTTCTCGGTTGAAATTGTGTCTGTGTTTGTAAATCTGAATTGCCTCGGGAACAAATCTCTGATAAAAAACCCGTGGGTTTGCAAAGAACCTTGCTATCGGAGAAAATTATATCGTGATCACCCACAGCGTTGTAACAGTGATCAGCTACGGCAGAAGAATTCGTTCTGCCGTGTTTCAAATCTGATTTGTGCTCGCGAATTCGGTCAGAGACATGTCGTTTCGTCTCCCCGATATAGCAGTCACCACAGGTGCAGATCAATCTGTAAACTCCGGGGTACTGTAAGTCAGGAACGACATCCTTCACGGAAGGGATCAGGTCACGGATTTTGTGTACTGTATTGAACCGGACCAGGATCTTGTGTTTGTTTAGAATTTTGGAGATCTTTTTAGTAACGCCTGCTATATATGGCAGTGTGATGGTTTTGATCGGAGTATCAAGTGGTTGTTTCTGTATGGAGGGAGAAACAGCTTGGCGGATGGTACGGTCAGAGTATCCATTCCTTTTGAGGGCCAGATGCACTTGTTTTAATTCACTGGTCAGGTGGTGTTGGTCCGAAATGCAATGAGCCCTGTGGTATAACGTTTTGATGAGATAATTATTTTGCGTCGGGTGGTGGTGGGAATCAGGTTTCAAGTAGAAATCTGTGTGGGTGGGTTTCCTGTAGACAGAATGTCCCAATGAGCCATCAGGTCTCCTCTCAAACAGAACATCCAAGAATGGCAGCTTGCCATCTTTCTCCACTTCCATGGTGAATTTGATGGCGGGGTTTCTGATCACTGTTACAACGCTGTGGGTGATCACGATATAATTTTCTCCGATACCAAGGTTCTTTGCAAACCCACGGGTTTTTATCAGAGATTTGTTCACGAGGCAATTCAGATTTACAAACACAGACACAATTTCAACCGAGAAGATGGTTTCAAATTAAGCAACCATTGGAAAGATGTTCTAAATAGAACCAAACATTAAACAAATTGTAAATGATACACTATATTTTTTCCAGTAGTGGTATCCCAAACTTTCGCAGCTACTTAAATTCCCTTTGCACACCATCAATATGTAAGCTCCCCCTCCCCCCCTCGCCAGTCTGCACATGTTCCCCCTCTCTACACCGTTCATCATGCTGAGTCCGCCAATTAAATGCTAATTGTTATGCTAATTCCTTTGTCAAGGCGCTCTGCTTCCTCTCGCACAGCTTAAAGGTCGCGGTCTGAGCTTGGCTGTGTTCACTCCAGCGCTGTCCTCGAGACAGTCTGGTCCCTTCACCTGATGATTTTTTATTTTTTTTTATATACTTTTACGTGACATTACCGAATAGAACGAAAGAGTATGGATCCTTGCAGTCACGAAAGCTTCAAATCTAGGTTGGAGAGTGCGTGGAGCGGAGTAGAGTGAGATGAGAGGCGGTAGAAGAGTGATGTCTCTCAAGTAGTGATGTTCACACATCGCACCAGGTACTCATTTGAGGCTGAGTCGACCTACGGGAAGCCCAGGATCGGTTCAGATAATCGTCATTGGTGTTGGCCGTGAGCGGGAATCGAACCCGGGTCGTCAGGTTCGTAGCGCAGCGTGCTAACCGCTACACTATCGCTCCCCATAGACGCACACAAAGATCCCCCATATAGCCTTAACAGACTGTAGGGGCAAGTGCTGTTAGCGAGCACCTATGATGGCCGGAACGGTACACGAGGGGGTGGATGGCCAGCACCACGCCCGACCGCCTTTGTCTCCCCAGTGGCGATGTTTACACATCGCACCAGGTACTCATTTGAGGCTGAGTCGACCTAGGGGTGGCCCGGGACCGGTTCAGATAATCGTCATTGGTGTTGACCGTGAGCGGGAATCGAACCCGGGTCGTCAGGTTCGTAGCGCTAACCGCTACACTATCGCTCCCCACAGACGCACACACACACAGACGCACACACACTGTTCATATGCGCACACAGAATCCTACGGATACCTCATCCCTCCCACAAAAGCTACTCTTTATGGCCCACGTGGGGGTTCGAAGTTTGCCAATGTGACAGCCATTATGAATCACTGGGCGTGCGTGTCTGGGTATGCATACGAGCGCGCATATGCGAACGAGATGACTTACACACAATGCACATAGACACACACACAAAGACAAATATCCCCCGATAGCCTCAACAAACCTTTGGGGCAAATGCTGTTAGCGAGCACCTATGAAGACCGGCAGTGTGGCAAACGGGGTTGGTGGGTTGGACAGCACCACGCCCGGCCGCCTTTGTCTCCCTCTGTGGCGATTTTTACACATCGCACCAGGTACTCACTTGAGGTTCAATCGACTTCGGGGAGGCTCAGGGCCGGTTGAGATAACCGCCACTCCTGTTCGCCGTGAATGGACATCGAACTCGGGTCGCCGGGTTCAGAGCGCAGCGCGCAAACCGCTACACTACGGCTCCCCCACGAGCCCTCGCTCACACACACACACACGTACAGTCTGTCTGTATGTGCGTGTGCGTGTGTATGTACGCACGCTGCTATTGATTTAAAAAAGCCATCCCGTGTTCTTTAGTCTTATATATATGGGGCGATTTACTCCGCACGGTGCCACGTGAGCTTCGTGAATAAATAGACGGCTTTGTTGAAGTGGGATCCAGCGATTGCCTCCCCTCAATACCCCCCCCTCCCATCCCAGAGGGTTTTTGTAGCCCAAGTTTTGTAAAGGGGTTTTCTACACAGAAAATAATAACAGAAGAAGTAAGCCTCTTAAACCTGCTCTAATTCAATTGGATTGGGAGGGGGGGCTTTGGCGTTGCCCCAGCAAGTCTGACCTCGCTCTGTTATCAAGGCTGGTAGCGAGGAGAGCTTCCAGATGGCGTTTCTGATTCTTTAGGATAGGGGCGAGGATACGAGGCGAGTTATTATATGCCTCCTACGTCTAGAGCGTGAAATAATAATATTAAGTCATGATAATAATGATAATGTTGACAATTTTCATACAGTAATAATAATTATGATCATAATCAGTATGATGATAATAATTTTGATTTAAAGCTTTCGTGACTGCAGTGATTCATATGCTTGGTTCTTTCGGTGAAGTCACGTTGAAGGGAAACAATAAAGTAATAAAATATATAAAACAATACAATTCTCACGACGTTTCGACTGCAACACAAGCAGTCATCACCTGATGAAAACCCTTCACCTGATGATGATTGCTTGTGTTGCAGTCGAAACGTCGTGATAATTTTATTGTTTCATATATATTTTATTATTTTATTGTTTCCCTTCAACGTGACTCTACCGAAAGAACCAAGAAGATGATAATAATGTTAATAATACGGATAATAATTATGATAATTACGATTATAATGATTTTAATAATGACAAGCATGATAGTGATGATACGAATAATAATACGAATAACAATGACAATAATGATTATGGTAGTTATCATATTAATAATGATGATAATTATGATACAATACTAATTATGATGATAATTATAACAATGATAAGAATATGATGATGATAATGTTAACAATAAGGATAATATTTATGCTAATGGCGATGAATGTTGATTATTTTTTTTATTATTCACGTGTGGGAGGAGATCGGAGCACCCGGAGAAAACCCACGCCTCGTGCGAGGGAGCAACACTCAATCCCCGTGCAGATGGTAACAGATGGCGATGAGTCCACACTAGTTGTACCGCCTTCTCCTGGCGAGCTCAGGGTTTATGACACCTCCTCGAGGCCCACGGGAAGAAGGGGAGTCCCACAACATCAGTGTGCCGTGATCCAGCAACCCTCGCTGCTGCCTCCACATCGCTGGGTCACAAGCAGCAGCCGCCACACGGCGATGTTTTTTTTGCGAGAATTCGCGTCGTGAGCATTGAGGAGCGTTTCAGGCTGCGTGGGTGATGGCAAACAGAGGTGGGGGTGGGGAGGGGGGGGAGTGACGCAACACACGCTCAGTGATAACCACTCAGAGATCCTCACAAACAAACAAAATCATCGCAAGACATCCAACGTCTTTCATGATCGTTATTATAAAGAGGGGTGATGAAGCAATCGTTGTTTTTGGTAAATGTACGTGAGTGGTGGGACGGGTCTCCCAGACTCCACACAGGAAGGACGACAGCAGTGTAGAGTATTTAACGGCTGCAACCTGGGGGTTTAAATACTATCTCAGGGTTTCCAGCATTGCTGATAGGAAGGGAAAATCTCGACGTTTCAGTTGACTTACCTTCTCGACGAAGGCATTTGCATCATAATAAGATGCCTTCAAGATCTATCGCCAGTTTCGATGTACATCTTCCTTAGACACGCACCAGTCTGTTATTACTTAAACAGTTGCTGCTGGATAACATCGGTCTGTAAAGCCAGATATCCTAAAATATATTTTCGTACGTGGTGACACAGTTCGACTTTCGAATGCATGCCTGATATTTTATTATGTTATTCTCATTTTCTCTGGTACCCATAACGTTCCAGTGGTAAGGCACAATGAACGGGGTCCCATGCGTAGCGCGGAGCGTTCTTGCCAATAAAATTGCACCTCCGATTGGCACGGTTGGCTACGTACGGTGCGAAAGAAGTCCAACATACATGTATCTGGTAACATCGCAGCAGCGTTTGTTTTGAGCAAGGCTGCCTCTGCTGGTGAGACCCAGGATGTCGACACCGGTGCAGAGTTTTGCTTGCTTCAACACAACATTGGTGCGGAAACTCAGGATTGCGGACGGACTGCACTCGGTCTGCTACTCGAGGAGCCCCAGCGCCGAGTCGTTCCACCCGGTAATTAAGTTCACCGAAGCCGCGACTTTAACCCGCTCACGGCACCTGCTGATTTATGATCAATAAATAAAGATGAGCGCGGATGCGTTGCTATTGTTCCGTGCCCCTGTGTGCGGTTCGAATCAACAAATACCTCGCGTTAAACGCGCTCTTGGCAAACACAGTAGCTCTCCGCGCCTCGCTGTTGTTCCAGACTCCGCCTTTGTTTTTGCAGCTGGTGAGACCCCCCACTGACTGAGCCGAGTAAATCTCTGCTGCGAGGACGACCACGGGCCAAGACCGTCGGCAGTGGCGGCAGTTACAGGACACTGCAGGGTGGAGGGGAACGCACAAACTCACCAGAGCAAGAACAACAGCAGCAAAACGGAGGCCAGAACTTGGGCAGTGCTTACACACAAATCACCAGCGGTGAGATGTTAAAAGTTAGAGCCTTCCTAAAAAAAAAAACCCGTGCGACTTAAAACAAAAGGTGAAGTAAATAAGATAAGGAAAGTTAATTGAAGCGCAGAGGGTCAAGGCAGGACGACCTACACTGCGCCACGTGACTGTTATGCATTGTGCGCGACAGTGGATACTGCAGAACAATGCAGTGAGTCGAACCCATGCATGACCAGAGAAACGCCATTGTCAACAGAAACATGCAGGCCGCATCCATTCGCTTCAAACAGCAACAATAACCCACGTAAACGTATACCAAACGCACTCGGCCTCTGTGCATAATGCAAAAAAAGCAGCAGTTCCTGACTAACTGCCTTGACCTATGTACGTGTGTTTAGCTTCCATAAAGTAGTACTGGTTTTTAACAACCCCGAAAGTATGGTTTGAATTTGTCATCCGATCTAAATATTGAATCTGACAACCATTTTAAACTCAATTTAGAGCCCTTTGTTTATCCACTGTTGGATGAAGGCAATTTTGACACCATTCCTTATGGCTTTGTTAAGGTTCAGTACCGGTTCATATAAAGCAACACTCGCCACCGATGTTAACCGTGGCTGGGAATCGAATTCAAATTGGCCGCGTTCGCATGCACGTATGTATGCTGAACTTCGTTCGCACCGTACGTAGCCGACCGCTCTAATCGGAGGTGCGGGGGGTGGACAACGGACTAGAGGACCACAACACAGTCCTTAAGGAATGGCCGATTTAAAGCGATGTGCGCCACTCCAAATGGACCAGTCCCGAACGCTGTTCTCGGGAATGATTTCGCACCTCGCGTCCATTTCGACTCTTTTGTCCTCACTGCACCCGATTCCCCTGTTAAGCCGTTTACGTGATTACTGGAATATAGGGTTCCGAATTGTGTAGGATTCTTATAGATCGGCGTACCGCGTGCCGTGTAGTGCTAGTGCCTTACGCCGGGAATCCCTACTCCACGCCAGCCAATCGTCGTTCTAGGAAATATGGCGGGATAAATTAAGACCTCGGTGTAAATGAGTACTTCATGCGGTGTGGTCAACATCAGGACTGGGGAGTCAACGGCGGCCGGGCGTGGTGTTGGCCAACAACACCCAACAATCTGTTAAAGGCTATACGGGATGTCTTGGCATTTGTGTGCTGAGTGAGCATCACCCCACGTGTGCTCGCCCATAACAACCGGGCGACCGGAGTTCCATTCCCACTCACGACCAATATCAGTGACGAATATTTGAACCCGTCTTCGGCCTCCCCTAGGTCAACTAGGCCTTAATTCAGCACCCTGCGTGATGTGTAAATGTCACCACTAGATAGACAAAAGCGGCCGGGGGTAGTGCTGGCCACCCAGCCACTTGTGTGCCTTGTCGGCCTTCATAGGTGCTACTCGCTAACAGCACTTGCCCCAACGGTCTTAAAGGCGACAGGGAGATCTTTGTCTCTTTGTGTGGAGTGAAAGTCTCTCCACGACAGGTATAACAGTGCACAGCCTACACAGCGGGTGGATGCACGCACGCACACACGCGCGCACTCTCACATGGTGCGTATTTATCATCTTGAGGACTTTCTGCGCGCCCCGTGCCACCTCATTATTGTGTAGAATTCAAAACGCACACACAGGCGCGTGCCTGTTATACAACGTGTGCGTGTGCGAAAGTGTGTATACGTGTGTGTGTGCGCGCATGTGTGTACACGTGTGCGTGTAGGAAAAGTGTGTATACGTGTGCGTGTGCGCGCGCACACGTTCCAGAAACGCAACGAGTTGGTACAGTGGGGAGCACAGTCATATGAATTGGAGCATGCATCCGTCATTCATCTCAGGGTAGTCAGCATATTACACCTCGGTCTGCCCCTTGACCTCCTGCCAGCAGCGAGCCTTCCACCACTACACGTGGCCTTAAATTGCACCTAGCCTGGCACAAGGGCTGCGGTGACATCACCGCGATGAGCGCGCTGCGCTACGAACCCGGCGACCCGAGTTCGATTCCGCCTGAAGGCCAACACCAGTTGCGATTATCTAAACCAGTCCTGGGACTCCCCGAGGTCGACTCAGCCTCAATTGGTTACCTGGTGCGGTGTGTAAAAACATCGCCACTGGGGAGACAAAGGCGGTCGGGCGTGGTGCTGGCCACCCACCACCTCGTGTGCCGTTCCGTCCTTCATAGACGCTCGAGAACAGCACTTGCCCCAAAAGAATGTTGAGGCTATATGGGGGATCTTTTTGTTTGCGTGTATGTATGCAAATAAAAAAACTAAACGCGCGTAATTAATTGAATTGCTTGCTTGAGATTAGCATTGATGATAAAGTGTTGTTACGCGTTATTACGTAGAGAACCGCATAATTACTGCGTGTTCAGGGTAAACAAAATTGATTTAAACGTCTTTCGCATGCGCATTGCTTTGTCACGTGCATCACCCGCACTCTTGTTATCTTTGATATCGCCCGCATCAGTAACAGCGGACAGCTTCTCATTAGAAGCCACGATGAAATTGCTCCTCATGTGACCGTGCTTGAGCGCGTGCGTGCGGTCGTGTAGCGGTTAGCTTCGATTCCCGGCAAACACCGGTGGCGGAAATCTTAACCGGTCCTGGGCCTCCCCTAGGTCGACTCAGCCTCAAATGTGTAGCTGGCGAGATGTGTAAACATCGCCACGAGGGGTGAAAGGCGGCGGTGGCGTGGTGCTGGCCACATCACCCCCTCGTGTGCTGTATCGGCCTTCATAGGGGCTCGCTAACAGCACTTGCCCCTACAGTCTGCTGGGGTGATCTTTGTTGTGGTGTAAAATAATGGCATCAGTCAACTTGTGCAATTCTCACTCAAATCGTTACTAACAAGTGCCCCCCCCCCCCCTTCGCCCTCATCCCACTACACCCCCGACGATCGTGATTAGTCGTTGTTTAAAAATGCAAAAGCGTAGGGGTAGAACGTGTTTTGCCATGTTGTCTCGTTAGCGTGCCTGCTCTCGGCTTGTCACTGAGAATCATCGTAAGTGGCACAACTGTGTGTGTGTGTGAGAGAGAGCTCGTGTGTGTGTGCGTATCTGCCTGGGTGTGTGTGATCTTCGTTTCTTGCGCGCGTGTGCGTCGGTGTTCCTCTGATCGCTTGGAGAGCGGTAGTGCAGCGGACAGCAGCGTGTTGAGTTAGGGACCCGGCCACCGCAGGTTCGATTCCAGCTCACGGTCAATTATGACGACTATCTGAACCAGTCCTGGGCCTCCCCGAGGTCAACTCAGCCTCAAATAAGTACTTGGTGCGGTGTGCAAATAATGGCAAGAGGGAGACAAAAGCGGCCGGGCGTGGATACTGGCCACCACACAGCCCTCCCCCAGCCTCGCTAAGAGCCCTTGCTACAAAGTCTGTGTATAGGTCATGCTGAGGATCTGTGTTATTGTATGTTGTGTGTGTGTGTGTGCACCCTCAAGTCCTTGGCGCACGCAGTCTGGATGCTGTCAACCCCACACACGCGCATTGATCTCAAAGTGAATCCGCTGCCAGCAAAGACCCTCACCCCACCCACACACCACCACCCCCCACACACAAAATATCCTCCGTATAGAGCAAATGCTCTTCGCGAGCACCAATGAAGGGCAGCACGGCATACCAGGAGGTGGGTGGCCAGCACCACGCTCGACCGCCTTTGTGTGCCCAGTGACGATGTTTACACGCCGCACCAGATACGAAATTGAGGCTGAGTCGACCTTTGGGAGGCCCAGGACCGGTTCAGATAATCGTCACCGGTGTTGGCCGTCAGTGAGCTGGAATCGAACTCGGTTCGCCGGGTTCGCAGCGAAGCGCGCTAACCACTGCACTACCGCTCCCCGCACACACCACCTCCACACCACCTCCCACCCCGACAGCCCACAGCGCCACCATTCTGACTGGCAGGCTACCTTAGGTGGTCGCTAACAGCACTTGCCCCAACAGTCTGGTGAGGCTACACGGGATATCTTTGTCTTTGTTTTTTTGTGCTCAATTAGCGGTCATGGGTATTTGGTTGCGTTCGGCTCCCTCTAGGCGCATGTCTTAATGGGGGGATAGATGTCTAACGAAGAATCAGCTTAGCTTATAATCTCGTTGTGTCTCTCTGTCTCTCTGCCACTCTCTCTCCGTCTCGGTGTTGCTCTTGACACAGCCACTTACTCCCTCCTCTTACCCCTCCCGACCCCCTTTGTTCACCACGGATTGGTCAATTACCGGCACATTAATAGCACAGGGCGATTAGAACAACCAGGCACGGATACACACATCGAATGAGAGGGCTTTGGTCTAATTCCCGACCTCATCGTCCTCTCTGTTGAAGGTTCGTATCCCCCATTTACACTCAACTAATGTCATTACTTTGCTTATAGCGCAGCGGATTCCTCCAGTACAAATACATAATGGGGCCCTCCTTTGCCAGTACCAAAACATGAGAATAGGTTTCCCCCTTTTTTCTGGCAACAAAACAGGTGTTAATATGTTCAAACACCAAACTGAAACCTTTTTACAAGGAATCATGTCTGCATTAACCACAATACTTGTGATCAGAATGCAAAAAAAACGCGTACTCTGAAATATATGCATTGTCTTTGAAACTAATTGGTCCACACCAGAGACAGCTTTCTTTTGAAACTAGTCTCAAAACGGTGTTAGTTCAGAGGACGCCAAAAGGTTTAATACAAATACATATTCTGATTCTGATTTCTATGGAATCATCATCATCATCATTAGCAGTCATGATAATCATCATTATCATCATCATCAATGATCGATCCACTTCTGGATGAATACATCCCTTATCCAGTAGTGAATGTGTGAGAGTAAGTGTAAGTGAGAGAGAGAGAATGAGAAAGAGTGTGCGTGAGCGAGAGAGTGTGAGTCGGAGTGTGAGCGAGAAAGTGTGAGAGAGAGAGAGAGTGCGAGAGAGTTGCCCAGATATTGTCAATCCACTTTTTTTTAGGGCATCTCCCCGTCTACACCGAGTGAGTCATGTGGACTATTTGGCCATACTTCAACGCGCGGTTCGGTGCAAGCCGAGGGCACAGACGTGTAAGCACCGTAGCACAGTGGAACAATCACTGGATGTTGTTCGACTGTACTGGGCTTCCAAGAATCTCCCCACCGCCACCAAGCCGATAGCAACCGGTTGTGCATGGCTGTTACCATCCGCACCAATCCACCCGTAGTGCAAATGAGTCGAATCGACTATTCGGATATATTCAATTCTTGTGTCCACGGAACACGCGTCGAATCGTGCGCGCAAGAATCCGAGTATTCGTCTTGAATGCAAATTGCGGGAGGGAAACGAGACGGGCAATGTTCGTGGGACAAGACAAACGAGACGATAACTCTTTGTCTATCTGCCTCTCTCTGCGTGTCTCTCGCTTCGCAGAGGTCTCTCCGAGTCCGCATGCAAGCGGACATCCCCCAGAGGGAGAAGCGGCTCTCTGCAGCAGAAACCAGACGCGAAAAGGTCACGAGAGGTCACGGGATGTTTGCCCGAAAGACAGAACACATTCAGCCGTGATGAGCTCCTCCGGCCATCCGCGGCATGGCGAGCTAAAACCCTGGGTTCTGGTGCTAGGGCGGGAGTGGAGGGGTGGCTCTCTCAAATTGCTCCCTCAGCGCCTGTATCCCCTCTCCCGGTCCGTGGGACCCGGCGCAGTTGCACCGCCTGCGCGCTCGGTAGCTGCTACGCCGCCGTCCCTCTCTCCCTCCAGCCAGCCAGCAAAACTTGTTTTAATAATATAGCACGAATTCGAGGCTCAGTCAACAGGCTGGTTTCTCACCTCGCTACAATAACTCGCGTGAACCGCATGCGCAAGTGTCAGCGTCGCGTGGCGGGCTCGCTGTCCATTTAAAGAAAATCCGAAGCGAGACCCGGGATCGACAGGGAGACGCCAACTTCAGCACAGCGGTGATGGCATTCCACCGCGCAGCGGTCCACACCGCACGCCGACGGAACCCCGAGAGCAATTCATGCACACGGCGCGCACGAGGGCTCACGCCGAGTCCAGCGGGCCACCCGCGCGTTCACGCCGCCTTCACGCGTGAGTGTTGTGTCTCTGTCTTTGTGTGTGTTTGTGTGTGTTTGTGTGTGTTTGTGTGTGTTTGTGTGTGTTTGTGTGTGTTTGTGTGTGTTTGTGCGTGCGGCGAGCGGTGGCGCAGCGGTTGGCGACCCGGGTTCAATCCCCGCTCGCGGACAACACCAGTGACGATTTTCTGAGCCGGTCCTGGGCCTCCACTAGGTCGACTCAGCCTCAAATGAGTATCTGCTGCGGTGTGTAAACATCGCCGAGAGGGAGACAAAGGTGGCTAGGCGTGCTGCTGGCCACCCACCCCCTTCACGTGCCGTGCCGGCCTTTATCGGTGCTTGCTTACGGCACTTGCCCCAACAGTCTGGTCAGGTTATATGGGGGATATTTTGTCTGCGCCTTTATCTTTGCGTGTGCGTTTTGCGGTGCCGCAGTGGTGAGCGCCACGTGCGACGAACCCGACCACCCGACATCAATTCCCGCTCATGACCAATAAGAGTTGCCAAATATTTGAGTTGCTTCTGGGCCTCCCCCAGGTCGACTCAGCATTACACGAGTCGTCGTCCGGCGCGGCGTTTCAACATGAGTACGGTGGAGTGCGCTGTGATGGCCTCCATAGGTGCTCGCTAATAGCACTCGCGCCAACAGCCTCCTGCTAGGGCTATACGGGGGATCTTTGTTTACGTACGTGGAGCGATCGGGGGGGCGGGGGGAATGGTGAAGCCTGTGCTACATGACGCGCCATTCCCGTTAGGGGCCGTTCATAAATGACGTCACGCGATTTTGGACGATTTTTGACCCCCCACCCCCCATCGTCACACGGCGTCACAAAAATTCAGCCCCCCCCTCAAATATGACGTCACAAAGCTCTGCCCCCCACCCCAAACCACAATTCCATTTTGAAAATAAAACATGCTTCAAATCGTTTTAAACTATTATCATTGTAGTGCGTATTTAATGTGGCGCTGCGCTCTGATGTTGTAGGAGAAGACATTTCTTAAAAAGTCTATTTAATTAAGTAGAACGTGCTGTCTATATTTATTTAAAGTTGCGCCTTTTGATGTGACGTCACATTTCTCAAACTCCCCCCCCCCCCTCGTCACACATCGTCACAAATGTCTGACCCCCTCCCCCCCCCCCCCAGGTGCGTGACGTCATTCATGGACGGCCCCTTACGCGTGTTCACCACTTGCGCCCTTTATTGCACCAGACGTGAACCCGACTTTAATTCTACGCGTGCCGGTGCACAGCGGCTGATGCGTACGCATTCGAATTCGCAATCGGGAGTTCAGTGTAAGGCGGTCTGACCCACCTTGGACTCGGCGGCACGAACTCACCCCCAACGGCAACACGAACCCGTAATGAGTCACCGGCCCAAGATGTGGACGGTGCGCATTGGGTCGAGACGGCCGGCCATGGTGCTGGCCACCCACCCGCTCTAGGTGTGCGTAAACGTCAGCACTGGGGAGACAAAGCCACCTACGATTAACACGGTTGGATACGTACGGTGCGAAAGGAGTTCAACATAAACGCATGTAATTGCCCTCCCGACCTCACATCTCGTGTGCCGTGCCGGCCTTCATAGATCGCTCGCTAACAGCACTTGCCCCAACAGTCCGCTAAGCTTATAGTGGGGGGGGGGGGGGGGGGTGGGATATTTGTCATGGGAATTGTTGGTGGTGGTTGTCGCATAATGCGCACGGCCGAGTACTTTGTTTGTCCACGTTCCTGTGTTGCTGATATCGATGGTGTTCCGGCATGCACCGGTGTAAATGTGTACTTATATGCTTTATTTAATTTTCATTGATATTTAGTGACTTGCTTTGTTTTCCAATACTTTGGGCTCGTATCCGGGTATTTTTTTTGCCAGCATTCTAAAAAAATTCATCCTTACTCTTTGGGTCTTTCGGTAGAGTCACGTAGAAGACGATTGCCTGTGTTGCGATCGAAACGTCGTGATCTATTATTTTTTCAATCTACGTGACTTTACCAAAAGACCCAACGAGTATGAATTCCTGCAGTTACGAAAGCTTTAAATCAATTTTTCATACATGTTTATTGTTGTAACTTTCTGACCCCCCCCCCCCCTCTTACTGGACATCTGTGAAAATGAGCTTGATCGATCATCTGATTCTTCAAGTCGAAATAAAATTCTTATTTACAGGTTTGAACGTTTATGTCTGCAGTCAGGGCCAGCCAGCAAAACGTGTACAGTCCACAACGCTGTCCCCACTCGCCTTATTTTGTCCTCATTGTACCCTACGCCCTTATAAACTCGTTTCTATGATCATGGGAATATAGGGCATAATATTGTCGTACGTCGTTCTCGAATGGTAGTGCCTTACGCCGCTAGTCCCTGCCCCAAGCGTGCTGGAAATATCGAGTGAGAAATTGATCTCTGTTTAAAGTCATTTAGTGACATAGTGGTTAGTGCACTTCGCTCTGAACCTGGCGACGGGGGGTGCGAACCCCGGCCACGGCTATCATCAGTGGCCAAACAACCACCTCTACCCATCATCAACCAAAACCTCGGCAATGTTCCTCGCCGCCGACTCAAGTCTCGATCCCCCCTCCTGGGATCGCGCTGCTGCTGTCACCATCCCAGAATCCCGTCCAGATCCAGAAGAATGCTGGCGAACAGACTGGAACGATGCGGACGTCCAAAATAAAAACGCGTCATTCGGGTCGGCAAACATCATCGCACCTCCTCATGGCATTCCCCCTCCTCCTCCTCCCTCCTCCTGGGCGGAAGCTAGCTTCTCAATTTCAACGCTAACTGTTTAGATCCCACGAAATATAACTTCATTTGTATCGAGCCTCGGTAAAGAATGACTATGAGCTGAATTGCTCGTGAGTGTGATACGAGAATTCTTTCGCCGACTTTGCCCTCTGGCCCATTAGTTTAACAAAGATCAAGAGCGCTCTGATGAGCTTCCCTGCCGTGACTACAATGAACCGGATATGCGCACCGACTTGAACAAGTAGGGGAGTAAAGCGAAGGATGGTGTTTTTGTTACATAGGGAGAAAATATTGCGGTTGTCTGGAGTGAATCAGACGTGGTAATGTGATCAGTGCTCACAAGCTTTTATTATTTTCAGATTTTTTTATATTTTTTATTTTACTATTTTTCGCGTGGTTTTTTTTGCTTGTATTATTTTCAAATTATTATTTCTTTGTTGTTCTTTTTTATTTTATTTTTATTTCTATCTTCGTGACTTTACCGAAAGAACCAAGAATACGAATTCCTACAGTCACGAAAGTTTTAAGTCAAAATTTAAGCGGGAGGATTCCCAGGGTCCCGCTGAGTCGAGGGAGAAGGCTTTGCCACTTCTTGTCTTAAAATCTCACTCCGTGCGGCACATACCAGGTGATGCAATAAATACACACATGTGGACCACCCGTTTTGTATCTCCACGTATACGCAATGTTATTGAGGGACTGTGTCGTTGTCTTGGTGTGGTCTGAAACTGTTTTTGCTATTGTTTTTTTGACTTGCCCAAGATTGAGAATTGGTATACTTATGCAATTTGAACGCATATACTTTATGTATTTCACGTATTAATTTTCAGTGATTTTAGTATCTTTCCTGTACGTTGTATTCCGCATCCTCTACTGGACATCTATAAACAAGCTTCATAGCTTATCAGATTTCTCCAGGATAACTAAAGATTCTGACGTATACAGTATACATTTGCAGAGTCCAATTAGCATTGCAGCCTTCTAGACCCAGGATAACTTGTTTGTTCGTCTTAGTTTGTACATTTTGCAGATGTGTTTGAATTTACTGTATTGTCAAGAAAAAACATATTTGGTGGTGGCGATGGTGGTGGTGGTGTAGGTGGTGATGGTGGTGATGGTGGTGATGGTGGTGATGGTGGTGATGGTGGTGGTGATGGTGGTGGTGATGGTGTTGGTGGTGATGATGTTGGTGGTGATGGTGGTGATGGTGGTGGTGATAGTGGTGGTGGTGTTGGTAGTGATGGTGTTGGTGGTGATGGTGTTGGTGGTGATGGTGATAGTGGTGATAGTGGTGGTGATCGTGATGGTGTTGGTGATGATGGTGATGGTGGTGGTGATAGTGGTGGTGGTGATGGTGTTGGTGGTGATGGTGATGATGATGGTGGTGATGGTGGTGATGATGGTGATGATGGTGGTGGTGGTGATGGTGGTGGTGGTGATGGTGGTGGTGATGGTGATGGTGGTGGTGATGGTGGTGATGGTGGTGGTGATAGTGGTGGTGATGGTGGTGATAGTGGTGGTGATGGTGGTAATGGTGGTGGTGATGGTGTTGGTGGTGATGGTGGTGGTAGTGGTGTTGGTGGTGATGGTGGTGGTGATGGTGGTGCTGATGGTGGTGATGGTGTTGGTGGTGGTGTTGGTGATAGTGGTGGTGGTGGTGATGGTGGTGGTGCTGCTGCTGCCACTCCGGCAGTGGAGCACAATCAACAACAACAATAACCCAACACGCTCCCCAATAACACCGTGGCCTTAAAATAATAACGTAAATAAATACAGAAATAGCGCAATGGCCCTTCTTCATCACACGTGTGCTATGAAGAAGAGCTCTTGCCCGAAACGTCGCCGACAATATGCAATGTATTTTAAGGCAGTGTTATTAATTAATGTGTTGAGGTTTTAGTTTTTGGTGGCATTGATGTGATCTTTACATTAAAGCACTGAGAAATAATCATGATGAAGATGACAAGAATGCTGATGACTGTATCGTCTGTAAGAATAATGTGATGATAAAAATTATTATGACTGTGTGGTCTGTAAGGTAATGTATGCCCATACATGCTTCGCATTTCTATGATTCCTAAACTGTGAAAAAATTAAACAAGACTTTCGATCGACGCCCCAATATGAACACGAAATGTTTAAATCCATGAGCTCACGGGCCTTCCAGACCAATGTTAGCCAACGAATTGTATTTCAACAAGCAGTTTGGAGGCGTTTAACCTTCTGGGTTTAATCAACAGAGCCAGGTTAGCTTGGCAAATACCGCAGCGTTACCAGATGGTATTAGCAGGAGCCATCCCTTTCTAACCCGCGGGGGTCCGTGCCCAACGCAGAAGATA